GCTAAGCCTCTGCAGGTGGCTCGTGCATCCATCGTCGTCAGTTGTGGCAGGTGGCAGTTCTTTGACAGCGCTACCACGGTGCATTCGCTGTCGACCACAGGCGCAATGGCAAGCAGGGAGTTTTCAAGGAGTCTTTGGAGGGCGGCCGATGCCCTGGGGAGTCGACCGCGGACCCAGTGCGAACGCACGATGCGATATGCTCAACGGAGCTTCCAACCCACAGTACGGAGATGCATCTCGACGACAGCCGTGCGACGTGCAGAGGTTACAGAGGAAGAGATACGGGAACCATTCACAGCGGCCCCCGAAATCGACTTGGAAGCGACGACAAAAGGCAGCGGCAAGAAGGGCGAAAAGAAGGACTCCCTACGAACACTGCGCGTCGTCCCAGCATCGCCGTCCTACTTCAGCGCAAAGCCTACCTTCACCGACGACTTCCTCTCCCTCTCCGCTCTCCTTCGAAAAGTCGCTACATTGCCTGTTATACCGCCCGCAGAGGCACCCAAGGTGGCCTGGAAGACGATCGAGCAGTATCGCATCATGACCAACGAGCCGGTAAAGACGGCGCGGTATCACAGGATGCTGCAAATCCTGCGCAGGCTCAACTGCATTCACCCCGCACTCATGCCCGACGAGGTCGTGCAGGCGATGCTGCGGTACAAGAAGCCCAACCAGCCCGGTGACATTGTTCCGAAGCCTGGCGTGATTGATGAGCTTGGGCGTGCCAAGGGCGTTGGGCGGAGAAAAACGTCGTCTGCTGTGGCTTGGCTGGTAGAAGGCGAGGGTGAAGTGCTCGTCAACGGCAAGTCCCTCTCAGAGTTCTTCGGGCGGCTGCATCACCGCGAGAGCGCTGTCTGGGCCCTCAAGGCTACTCAGCGTCTTGACAAGTACAACGTCTTTGCTCTGGTGCAGGGTGGTGGCCTGACTGGCCAGGCGGAAGCAATGACTCTAGCTGTAGCGAAGTCATTGCTGGTCCATGAACCCGCGCTGAAGCCTGCGCTGCGACGAGGTGAGTCGATGTTTTCTTTATCCGTGCCTTTTGCAATCCAGCATTGCTTGTTCTGTCGTTCCATGAGCATTGTCTATGCAACCCTCGCGGCTGACACATGCCCACGTCTACGCCTCAAAATGCAGTCAACACCCCTGGATGATCCCAAACATGTCTCGCCTGCGCATTCCGGATCCAATTGCTGACTGCTCCTTAGCTGGAACCATAACGCGCGACCCAAGGAAGGTGGAAAGGAAGAAGCCAGGTCACGTCAAGGCGCGAAAGATGCCCACCTGGGTCAAGCGATGAGCTGCTTGTGTGTATACTATCCTTTTATCGCTAGTCGTCTGCAGTGTCAGCCTGGCCAAGTGTAAGATGAGACATGTCAAGACGCCGTCTGTTGAATGTGCTTCGATTTCGTCGTGTATGTCCAAGCAAGTGTTGATGTTACTCTCGGTACCTTGTCGCTGTTTGCATGGAACAGGGTGCTGTACATACGACACGTGGAGATGACCAATTCTGCGCCTGATTGTCAATGTCGCAACCCAAACGGCCATGTGCTCACACGATCCTCATCTGGTGCGGCATTGCCCGGACAGGGTCATGCTTTTCGATCAAGTGTGTCCAGAAACACAAGGCCTTGAACCTTGTGCCGCTCTGCCCTGCTGACTATGCTTCTTCCCTGGTTCAGTCTCATGTCGAGCAAGTATGCAGGTTCAACCTTGCTTCACTACTGTCTGTTATTGCTTTCTCGGTCCGTTCCTGACAGCTGTTGAAGACCACTTTGCTAAGAGGAAGCAAATGTATATCGCATGAATGGCTGCGCCACCACCAGCACGCAATGCACTCAATACTGATGCGATTACTTATGCCTTCCTGATGTGTTTCTGTTTGCGCTAAACTCGCATTCGCATTCATGACTGCTTTTCGACCAAGACCCTAGATAGGCAAATGTGCATTGTGAGTTTTGCAACAGCAAGATGCTCAGGCCAATTATTATTGCCGGTGGCACATGCGACAAGAGTCAACATATGACCGGCTGATCGCGGGCGCAGAGTTGCGGTGATCGTCCCTGACTCGTTTCACGATGTTCTATTTTGGACATGGTCATAGGGCGGCCAATGATATTTGAACCACGACGTCTGTGCTATATCCGCTTGCACTTGCTTTTCGGTCGTTCCGGATCATGTCGCGGACAAACGTTAGGTGGCAGGAGGCATGAGAAGACTTTGGCACTAGAAGATGGGCTGCCGTTTGGATCTTCGTTGGAGATGGAAGCTCCCTGTTTGACTCCTTGTCGCGTGTCCCGCACGACGCGTAAACGGTCGAGCACGGCATTCGCCCGAGACTTTGCCAGGTGGTCGAAGCTGAGTGCGAGTCAGACGTTTGTCGAACGAAGTGAAACCTTCTCGAAGCATGTTCGCCGTGGTCCTTGATCATTTCACGAAGCGCGGTGGTGGAGGTTGATGCGAAAGCCAGGGCCACCTGATGATCGCCATCCGTACCGAATGACGCACTCGTCTGGACAGTGATCGCACCAAAGCGGGCAAGTTGAACGACATTGGTTTCGTGACGCGATGGCTGCGTCCTGCAGAGCCATGCTGTGCGCCTCTGCAAAGCTTCCAGAAGATTGCAGTCTTCCGTGAGCACGTGAACAGGCATTCATAGCGCAATGTTCCGGACAGTCGCGCGCGCGGCGTATGGCGCGCCAGAGCATGCAATTGAGGTGTCAGTGACAGCGCAAGGCGTGCTCTTAGCCTGAATAAACGGCGGTGGGTAGCGTTTGCAGCGTGCCGTGTTGAAAAAATGACGGAAGGTTCGCGGCAAGAACCAGTGAGGTTTGCCGGCAGGAGCGACCGAGATGGCGCTAGAGCCCCACCGTACCGCACATGTAAGATTCGAGGAGTCGCAGCGTGGAGAAGGCATGGCGAGGTCGCGAGGCCGCGGCTTGAGTGAGTGTGCGTCAGTCCACGAGTTCGAAAGGGAAGGTCCCCATTCGCAGGATCAGGATCGACGAGTGAGGCTGATGGGTGAAGTGGCCCAAGGCAAGATCGACCACAGGCGAGAGATCCCTGCGCGTGGACGGGAACTTGCAGCGCTGCAGAGATGAAAGGACGGATCGAGTTTGGAGCCCGAGATAGCCCCTAAACCTTCTCACTCCCACCTGTCAGCACCTACCTACACGAGACACTGCCGGCCGTGAGGCTATCCAAGTTCGACATCCGTTTGGTGATTTGGCAGCAGGAGAGGGCGCCTCAAGAGCCGAAGGACGCCTGCGGCATGAAACATGGCGGAAACGCGCTCCTGAAGGTTAGTCTTCCCACGGTGCGTCGGGCCCCTTTGTCCTACAGCTCTTCACGCGTACTGGCGGACAAATGCCATGTGGCGCGTGGTCACTGTCTGCCGCCAAGCCCAGCTGGGTGAGAGGAGCAGTTCCTGGGCCAGCAGCCAGCTGCGACATTTGGCCGCTGTGGAGCCGCGGGGCGGGAATCGCCATCTGGTTGCGCCGAAGAGCAAGAAGAAGGAAGCCACGATGGAGTTGGTGGTTTTTGTCGTCGTGCTGGCGCTGACAGCGCCCTCGTATCGCCGGCATCGAGTGGTCACGCATAGCAAACGCGATGCTGCCCTGCAGTGTGGCTGCCCAGACGCCTGCAGATCCACCATGGGCGATCCGTAACCATGGCAGACAGGGTACTGCTAGCCCCGCCCTGGCCATATCGGAAATCGGAGACTTCGCATGGTCGCTGTCATCCAGAGCTGGTAGAGTCGTCTTACTCGTCAGCCCTCGCTCGCCCGACCTGCAGCCACACCCACTTCTCAGGTACCCACCATTGTTTTCTCCTCTAGCTTCAACACCCTGGTCCAAGTATTTACAGTCTGTTCGCCGGCGTGGCTTGCGAACTACTTCCTTTTTGCTTCCCACACTGCCCGATGCTCTCCCAATGTAGCGCGACTGCATCACTTCCCGCCCACGTCTCTTTCTGCCCTCCTCCAGCCTGGCTACCATCGGCGACCACACCACCCTCCCCCACTTGCATCCCTGTGAGCATCTGCGCCAGCCGTGAACTGACGTCGAACTCACACGCCTCTTATAACAGAGCCTTTCACTTCATCCGTCGGTCCAGTGCAACCGATCCGATTACAATCTTAGCATCCGTCGCACTTTCAGTCCTGTCTCGGACCGAACGCTTCATTCGTCTCTGCATGTACTCCCGCTCGCCCAGTGCGCCCCAAGACACTGCATCGTGAAGAACGCCAGCGTACGTTTAGGCCGTTGAGCTACCGCAACGCAGACGTTAGATTGTTTGAGACCATCTCCTAGGCCGGCCACTACTCCGTCCGACTCGTTGGAACACTGATCTGTTTGCAAGGACTACCCTTCAAACATCTCACGCATAAGCGTCGCCTCACCACCAGCCCATCCCACACAGGGTTCTCCACGCCTGCATCTACCGGACAATTTCGCTGTCACCTAGTGGCTACGTGTTTAGCTGATCCACACGGCGCACACATTTTCTCCAACATTACCGCATCGGGAGGACCAATCCCGGACGTCTGAGCATTGCATTGCAGTCATCTTCCTGCAGGCGGAGCGAGGATATCCTGGTGGCTGGCCGAGGCTCTTGCGCGAGCTTCTTTTCCTGCATCATTGGGCTGCATTGGTCGCTCGTCGACGCGTCAGGGCCGTGTTTATATCCAAACCATCTGGACCTGGGAGCATCTCGTCTTCCAATTTCGGACGTCATACATCTACCACCATTGGCCCGCATCACCCATCAACTCTTTCTGGTCCTCTCACGCACCCCGCCCCAAACCGCATCTCTTCCATCAGTCCGCGCATACGTCGACTACACCTGCGCCTCCGCCTCTCCACCTCTTGCGCCGGCCCTCCACCACCTACATCCCGCAAGTCTGCAAGCTGGCCAATTACGCGACGCCGCCAGTCTCGCCCTCGGGGTACCGGGCTCTCGAACCCCCCTTCAGTCTGCAGTATAAAGGCGGGCTGGTTGGGATGGACAATGACCGCCGGCCACGGCATACTCCCTCAGGTTACGCAAGCCAGCAAGGCACGCTCCTTCCACCACAGGCATCGTATCCAGTGGTAAGCGCACCCGATCGCTTCAGGCAGCCGCCCTTGACAGCACCTGCCCCACCCACATCCGTCCCCTCTTCCGGAAGTCGCGCCAGCTCTCAGGGTTACGGTTACGCTTACGGTGAAGGTGCACAGTTTGGCTCGTCGATTCAGCCCTCTGCCGTAGCCTATGGCGCCCAGGACTATGCCGCCGACCAGCAACAACAGGCCCAGCGTGCGCCCCAGCAGTACTCGCCCTACGGCCAGAACATCATGTACAGCGTGCCGGGCGCCCAGGCCGCGGCGCAGCCTTCTTCGCAGTATGAGCCTGTGGAACAGTACCAGCAGAACAGGGACTCGGCTATACAGGTCCTGAGCACCGGCTTTGGCGTGGCACAACCCCAATACTATGAGAGCGGGCCCACGAGCGCACCTGCCTCTGCCATCGCGGCGCAAAACGTTCCTTCCCAGTATCCCTCATTAGGCTATTCCGCTCCCCAAGCTCAGGTCGGACGAGAAGCCCTTGCGCCCGCCTTCACTGCCGCTGGCATGACAGACCCCCATCAGGCGCCTTCCCAGGGCGGCTATTCCCAGGGCAACTACAGCGAGCCCCAGGCCAATAGCGGCAACGAGTACGACGACTTCTATCGAAACTACCAGAACGAGCTGAAGAAGACGTTTGAGCATGTCCGTGACGGCCGCCTCGCCGAAGCCGGCACACTGCTCCTCAGAATGTCCGACTGGCTGTTGCACTGGGCCGAGACTTTGGGTAAGTTCCCCGGTGTGCGCATTATCGAACGAGGAACTGAATTGACCGCAGCAGGCCTAGTACGCGACGACGAAACCTACTACCAACAGCGCCTGCAGCTGTGGGAAGAGTTCAACACCTGCTGGCTCTCCACGCTGCAGAAGCAGAAGACCATGACGCAGGAGATGACCACCACGGGCCAGCGACCGCAGCCTCCCAAATCACTCATCGATTGGGAATTCCTCGAGAAGATGGGCACTCAACTTGTCAAGAACTGCGACAGCATGGAGAAGCACGGCCTCGTTGACTACCAAATGGGAGTATGGGAAGAGGAAATCGTAGCGAGTCAGTACCACATTGCCTTCATTGCCTGATCACAATACTAACGTTGCGCAGTGTTGACTTCCTGCATGGACCTCCTCGAAGAAGTCGGCGCTGGTCCATCTGTACAACGACCCACCTCCACAGCGCGACGGCGATGATCTTAGCAAGTTCTAGTCGCGACGATCTTCCTCGTGGCTGATCGCAGTGCCGCTCCCGAGCGCCATCCTGTCAGCGCATTGACCCTCATCTCGAGAGGCTTGCTACAGACCGTCCATGCGCACGCTTATACCCGCACTACGCGCTCATCCAGCGCGTTCGAGACGACTTCACTTGCTTCTTTTTGTACATATACTGTTCTCAGGGTGTCTCGTATTGGTTTTCCTTCCACAGCCATTGGGACGCCGAGGAACATCGACCGCTTCTTGCGGAAGTCAATCTGCATCGGTTTTTCCTTCTGTCCAACATTTGCATCCATGGTTTTTCGCAGTCGTCGAGCATTATGGCTTTGAGTCACGTCTTCACTTTTCTTTTTCAGCCTTTTCTCAGGCCATTCTCTTGTTCGTCTTTTGTGTTCGCATTGGGGAAAAGTGGGGAAGGGTTATGGTACGAACGCAATGGCACGCATGGTTCATGTTGACGACATGGATACGTGCATCTACGAGCATCTGTACTTGATTGCTTTTGCTATTGGGTTTTGATGCTGGAACAGATCATCCGGCGCGGGCGCTGAGGATATCTTACGGAGTGTATTATGACGCATGGGTTAATGAGGTGGAAGGGCAATCGATAGAGCCGGCACGAATGCATGTGGATACCACCGGATCGTCCTTGCGCCCTCGCAGCTTCCGGTGAATTCTCAACGAAGACACTCGAAGTCTCGACCAGAGAACAACACCTCGTCTCCGCATTGGGCGGCAACGAGGTAGTTCTCTGAGCCTGAGGCGGTAGGGCGGGAACGACAACTGTCATCAACGGTCGGGTTCCCGGGTCCGATGCAACGACGTGGTTGGGCAGCAACTGTAGTATAGAATTTGTACTAGAATTACATGGCTTCATTGCAGACATCCTTGTTCCCGAGGTAAACTGAAGCGCTGTTCTGAAGGATTCTATATGGTGGAGTCGCTCTTCCAAGTTCTGGTCGTACCTTCCCTGGTCCGCAAGGGTATCCGTTCCTTCTCGCCTCACTTTACGCATCCCAACTCGGCCCACAGGCGCCATTGCAGCCTCGCATGTTGACAAATGCGAAGGCATCCGCTGCACTTACTCATCATTCGACGCCTTGAGCCGATAAAGGGAAAGCGATCATGCACGGCGACTTGGCGACGCAGTGTTAGCGCCTCACGCATATTTTGAGGCTTGGGCCGTGTCAAAAGCAAGATCTGACCTCCAGCTGGGTCTACGGGAACAGAAAACCGGATCGACGCAGGCGCCACAATCATCGCTAACAAGCGCCTCTAGGTGATCACATCTTATCACAAGGACATTAAGACCTTGCAGCACATCATGGCGCATGCCGGCTATTGAACACTGACGGCGATCTTACGAGATCGGGATATAGATGCAGCATCTCAATATTTGCAGCTACCCCGCTTGAGTAATTGACACTCGCAGTTTCATATTTTCATCTTCAAACAGGTCCGTTCGCAATTGGGACCAAGCCTTGCAGAGGACGCGGTGGCTATTATCGCGTGAAGCGCTGCCGTCGCACTGCCCCGCTTCCTTCAATATTCAATACTTTGCCCTGGTAATGTTGATATGCCCTAGCATTGCGCGTGCCTTGCGCCCAGGGTACGCACCTGCTTTTGTGATGGGCTGAAGTCATCACTCTCGCGTCTTTTAGCCACCGGGACGCCTCGAGATCCAGCAACCAGATCAACCGCCAATGATTGCGCAGCCGAGGACCCTGATAGCGGGAGACGACCGGCTCGTCTCCCTGGCCCTGGGAGCACATCAGCTCCTCAATTGTACATGAACGCCGAAGAAGCAGCGAGCGTGGACGCCTTCGATCCTGCAGCCACCTTTCGCATCTCGCGATGCAGCTTCATTGCATTCGGCGGCACAACTCTCCGCAAGCCACAAGCGGCATACTTCCTGCATGCTCAACACGGACACACCCCGGTCGATCGAGCGCATGAGGCTGCCTATCACGCATGATGCAAGGGTGGGATCATTGGAAGAACACACTCTGTCGAGATAGACATGCGCCCATCTGACTCGTGATCCCATCACGATAGCGCCAGGGGAAACTCAGAAAATGCGATCTTTCCGGCTTCTCGAACACATGGCTACGCAAGGGGGTGTGGAACCCTGCACCATCGCGAGCTGTCAATGCAGTTACCCATCAGAACATGCTACCTTGTACAGGCCCAATGAGCTGGTAACCACACCGCACTCCTGCTTTGCTGCGCATGATCGCTGCAGAAACGACGGCCGCTTCGCTCAGCCGACACTGTTCTACCCTCCGCTGTCCGTCTGACCACCGGGTCATATTACAAACGACCACGACATGTCGATCGCGGGTTGTTGAGAGACAACAACACCATAGTCATATTTCGTATACGTCGCACGGGCCGCGATATCAATAGGCGATCGGCGGCCACCTACAGATTGACATGCGCCTCTGGCGATCCAGGTTCGGAAACTATAAGCTCTGACATATTGGCGTGGCAGCCACCAGGCACAGGACCTCGTTGGTGTCGTACCCGGTTCTGCAGGTGGAGTAGGCGTGCGTTCGGGAAGTCGCATGTTGTACCCGCGTCGCCACATTGCGGTTTCCACAAAACTCTCGTTCAGTCAGCAATACGAGACGCTGGAGGCACACTCAGTCACACTGGTCGTGTCAGCAGCGTGAGCCAATGGTGTATTTTGACGACACGATGTATGTGTAAAAGAAAGCGAGAACCAATGTCATGTTCCCGAGATGTGATGCATTCGTTTTGAGTAACACGGTTTTCACATCGTCACACCCGAACGAACTGTTACTTTTAACTAGTCGTTCCATCCAAGTTCTCGAATGCAAGCGCATCTTCGAACTCCAAAAGAGCTCTCAGGCTACATGCTGTCAACGATGTCAACGTAGGAAGAGTCCCGCGCATTACCGTCAACTAAAAGCCTATAAAAAAATCCCATGTATCCGAACATTATCAGACTACGTAATGACCATGCCAAGCACGCTCTCCCAATTCAATCCAATTAGTATAAATACCACTCTTCCAACCCTTTCTCCTCTTCTTCATCTACCATTCAAGTACTTTGCTTGTTCCCAAACCCACTAACTAATTACGGTATGTGTGTTTTACTTGCTGTCCTCAAAAATGGCCGGCACACAACGTATGTTTGTTCCGCCATCCTCTAAACTACCGAAAAGATACAATGATCCTGCCCATGAGAACTGAGATCCGACTTGTCGATTACTTAGTCACTTCAAAACTACAATCCAAATACATCATGTTGTTGCCGGCTTCAATCAAAAACTCGACCATCAATTCCATGTCTTCCCCGGTTGCTGTGCCTACATTGCAACCACATACAAACACTGCGAACCCAGTTGTACCTTTGACCGCCCCTAGCATAGCTGATGGGTATATAAACACCTCAATCGTTGCTTCTCATTCTCTTCTCTTACCACAACATTGTCCTTATGTTATTTACCAAATGTGTTGAGCAACAAGAACATGTTGCCTGTGTGCTGTTTCTCAAAATCATCAAGAAAGCTCCCGCATGAAGCTGCTTGTGGAGTCGCTTTCTCAAAATCAAAACTCGCACTGCCACATCACATGATCAGCAGAACTTGGAGAACATCCTAAAAGCGTGGGTCTAGAATTGGCGGCGCCAGAAGAGGCAGCAAAGACCCAAATCATGTGTGCAGCAGGACTTGTCATTAATTGCTCAGGTATCGAGAGTACCACAATGTCTTCGCACATGTTGTTGCGCTGTGTCTGGATATGATTTAGTTCGACGCTACTGGCGAGCATGTGTATAAAGTCTTGCGAGTCTGACACCTCTCTTCTCTTCCAAACAACACTCCAAAGTCGGCTCCACCAAACCTACAAACTTGGAGTTGCATGAGAAGATCGCTCTTCTCCAAAAATAAAGACTTGTGCAACTAATGTTCTTCCTCGTTCGTCTTCGTCCCACTCATCGGAGCCAGCGACGGCTCTACAAAGCTTCGATACTTTCTCCACCTTCTATTCTCTTATTATACACTCCAAATTCTGCTTCTCAAAATGCAGTCCACGACAAACATGTGCGACTGTGTTCTCCTCCAAAATCATCGGGCGCGACTGCCGTGTGTTCGTTCTATTCCTTGTCTCCTAAAACACAGCATGCCTGACTCATGCGGAGTGTCGACACCCCAAAAGTCCTGGGGGAAACGTAACATGACGGAAGTAGCTGTACAAACAATGTCCAATTTGTTCCAATGTCTTCCAGCGTGTTGCGCACATGACCTAGCGCATAGCGATCAAAACTAAAAGACATTCAGCGCATGAAGACGGGCTGTCGCAAAACCCATGGATTGGAGGGTACGCCCCTTTTCTTCTTGACTTCAGAAGCTTTCCAAAAACCATCTCTAACACTACTATGTGAGCAGACCAAGTTGCCACGTCCACATAACCATGTTCTGCGGAGAGAAGGCTCTGGCTAGAAGACAGCTATATAAGCTCAGCCAAAACGCTTCTTCTTCCTTCTTTCACGAACATGAATGGAAACGCATTTTTCCGAAACATTCTCAGACACAACTCATGTGGTCTTTGCCTTCTTCCAAAACGAGCGTTCGAGCTGACCTATGTCGGCGGCTTCTCTCCAAATCAGGGCACAGAAGCGCACATGGGCTGAGAAGGCTCTGTTTCGCTTCTGGCTGATACCTCGCATTCCTTTCCTTCTCTAAAACAACGACGCGACCAACGAATGCTCCGACTGTCAGCCGCTTGAAAAGGAGTTCCAACGTAGGAGTGTCAAGTTGGAGCGCGTTCACATTTCTGTCTATCCAAAAGCCCGATGGATAGATTCCGATGATCACGAATGGTATATCGAAACATTTTTTATCGTAAGACCGAGGACATCTTCCTCTACTCCTGTATCTAAAACACCGACGTGAAGGAATCATGTGTCCGCCCTCTTATTTCGATCAAAACATGCCATTAATTGCCCCATGTCG